AACACTGACCAGAATGTTACACAACACCCCTCTCTTTGTCCCTAAAAAAAAAAAAAAATCTGTGTCAACTTCATTTACTGTTCTTGGATCCGCAAAACTAACTTGCCCCTTGTGTGCCCACACTCTCAGTTTCTCCTCTGGAAGAAAAACAACAACAGCAGTAACAACAACAACAACAAACATGGGAAGGAATAAACTTACTCTCAGGTTATATTTTAATGGCTTTGGCTAAATGCAGGATTTGGAGAACATGGAGCTTCAAGGAATTTTTCAAGGAATTTCTGCATCCTGTTACAAGTGGTTGAAAACACCAGAAGTACCTTTTCTACACTGTTTTCATCCATCTGTTCTCCATCCCTAGCAAGGAAAATAAATCAGTGATAGCAACCCCTCTAACACTGGGAACTGCCCCAATCCCAGAGCCAAGAGGCACGTGACAAAAGCCACTTGGAAGAGTAATTTGGAAGGAAAGGACATAGTTTAGAAATCAGATGTCATCATTTAAGGGACAGTGTGTACACAGAGCAGCTGTTGGCATCTTGGAGATAGGCTACACCAATGTTCTGTGAGGAGAGGTACCTGGGTTTGAAGGACTTTAGGCCCTGCTTTAAGGAGGGTGTCAGAATGGACCAGACTCTGCTCAGGTTGCCCATCAATAGGACAAGAGAAACAGTCACAAACTGATGCCCAGGAAGTTCCAGTTGAACTTGAGGAAGAACTTTTTTCATGTGCAGTGACTGAGCACTGGAACAGATTGTCCAGACAGGATGTGGAGTCTCCCACTCTGGAGTTATTCCAGAACTGTCTGGACACAATCCTGAGCCATGTGCTCTGGGATGGCCCAGCTAGAGCAGGCAGGTGGGACCAGAGGACCCACTGCGGTCCCTTCCAACCTGACCCGTTCCATGATTCTGTCCCTATCCCTGGTGCAGGACACCCACCTTGAATGGCAAACACATTTATGGGAGAGGCATTTTAACCACCTCTCTGAGCCTACCTTGCAGCTGACTTTTCTTTGACACTCCCCAGAAGAATGCTGAAGGGGTCTTGGCTAAAAGATTGAGCACAGCCACTCCATCTGATGCTTTTACATCGTTCGCATCTTTGCCCCCTTCGTTCCAGGGGGACACGTGCAGGGTCAGGATTTTTGGGAACAATAATTAACCTCCCATATCTCCCTGACAATATCATTTTCTAGACCCACCATCAGAAACTCTTCCCTCATCCCATCAACTTTGTCATATTCAACAGGTTACCCCACTTTCATTCACCCCTGAAAGGACAAAATCCATACCCATGGAGATGCAGAAAGGGATAAGAGGGGGCTGGAGGAGATGGGGGGGGCTGAGGCCACACCAGCAGAATGGCTCCAGTTCAGCCTTTTCTTTGCCAGCACCACCAGCAACCTGCCTGTGCCTGGCTTTCTGTGAGTCTCACCCACACAAAGGTGAACACCCCACACCAGGACTCTGCCAGATCAAAGCCTGAAAGGGTAAATATTTCTGTCAGGGATCACTATTTGGCTTTCTTCCTTTGTTTGCCCTGGAACAATGTTGGGGGGGGGGGGGGGGGGGGGGGGGGGGAAGGAGGCAAAAGAAGCCTCTACAATTTAACAATGCTGCATTGAGAGACACAATACCTGACATCACAAAAATGACCCTCTCCTTGCTCCCTAATTCTTGTCTTTTAGAGAGAGAGGGGTATTCTGCTGCTTCTTGCAGCAGGGGCGAAGGAATGTGGATCTGTGGCTTTGGGATAACATTTTTAGATCTACCGAAAGGCACTTTGACCTTGGCATAAGAACTGTGCCAATAGTGCTGGTGTTCAAGGAAAAGAAGACCATCAAAAACCAGACAAGCCTCACATGTCTGACAGTAGGGGAAACACTCACAATGGGACTTTTAAGCCAGTTGAACAATCTCTCTTCTAAAAAACCCACAGAGCTAATGTTTCTTGTGCAGAAAATTTGTTGTAAGCAAAGATTTTTTAGAACTCTGCTTAATTTGATGAAAAATACTTTAGCAGAGTCAAGTTACTAATACTCCCTGTGTTTCCAAATATATTTGAGTAGCTGTAAAATCGAAAAAAAACCCCAAACAAACAAAAAACAAACAAACCAAAGCAGAAGTGTTTGATAAATATTTCCTGCCTGTATTTGAGACAAAGTTAAATGTCATTTCCAGAGTGCCATTTCCATGTTATATAACGATGATGATGAAACTCTTCCCATCCAAGCAACTTAAAAAAGAACATCAAAAGCGCAACTAACATTTTGAAAAACAGCAGGTCTAGAGGACGTGTGTGTCATCCTTTTAAGAGCTGGTTCTTCAGACGACTGTTCTCACACAAGGTGGGAATGTGAGAGTTTATAAACAGCCCAGAGACCGCTTCTAAGAAGAAAAACAGCGCTGTGTCAATATTTGAAGAGCGTGACTAAGGTGAGTCCACGCAATTTCAGTCTGGCGAGTCCAGCGTCGCTCCTGACCCGGGTATAAGGAAGTGGTTTGCGCTGGTTAATAAGGAGATGGAGAGTGGGGATGTAATGGAACAGCAATCAGCAGTTTTCATGGTAAATGGCTCCTGTCAAAGAACAAACTTCATCTTGTTCTGTAATAAAATCACGAGTACAGCTGATAGCAGGAACGGTGTTGACTCAGTGCTGTACGGTGCAAAAAAAAAAAAAAAACCAAAAAACAAACAAAATCAATACGGGTGCATAACAAATGGTTTAAAAATAGCCATTGGAAAGATCTTAAAATGGCTTTGTAATAAAGGATTCATCAATGAATAAATGCTGTTTCTAATGGACTCCTGCAAGCACTTGCACTTGTGCTATTCACTGTGCTTTATGTAGGAACTGCAAGAAAATACAAGATGATCACATCATTTGTAAACTGTGAGAGTTTCAAAACTGCAAGTAGTTTCATTACTTAAAATCGCACTGATGGGAGTAGCTTGTCTTGTAGACAAAGACTGATGGGATGTGGGTAATCAGGAGAACTTGGTAATACGAGTTTAAAATCACAGAATCATTATATATTATTTTATCTACTTTCATGGTACCTTTTCCTCTTGGACAAAGGGAGGTCCTTGAGAGCCTCAACTCTTTCCCAGGAAGTTCCCAAATGTATTAATATCCTGAGTTGGAAAGGACCTACAAGGACAACACTTGTTGAAGGAGGGAAGATGGTGAAATCCCACTGGCTTTGATGGAAATGGGGGCAAAAAGTGAGAATCCTACAATCTGTGTCTACAAAGCAATCTACAAGACAACTAACATTCCCATTTACTTCCCCACTGTGGAGAAAAATCTGGGACAAGGCTTCAGAGTGAAATTACCCTGTGCAGTTCATTAGAAATGCAAAAGATAAGTCAAACAAACAGATCCTATCCCTTTTGGTAGAGGAATGGGACCAAACACCCCAGCACAGCCTCTTCCCCTGGCTTCTTGCTTGTTCCTTGTTTATCTCCTCTCTTTTTCTTCTCTTTCTCCATTTGAGAAGACAGAACAAACATGCAGGAATCTCCTGTGGTCGAATTAACAATGTTCTTGGAGCTTTTAGGATTGAAGAGTGCTGCTGATGCATCCAAGGATCCATGTGCAGCCTTTCAGCAGGATTTTAATGACTCAGGGAAACACCACTCCAGCAGCAGTGAACACTTCTAAAAGCTTCACCTTCCCTTCCAGCCTGAACTCAGTCTGGCCTCTCTCTGGGTTTTAACACACTCCATTAACAGGATTCCCTGGCTGAAAGCAGACATAGGAGCTAGGCCACAAGCCTATTTTTGGACATCCAACCCCCTGCAATGCACAGGAGTCCCCTTGTCACTGCAGACTGTAGGATGGAGACAGGCAGAACGTGTAGGAGAAAGGGGAATCAGGGAAAACACGCTCTGTACTCTGGGTTTTTTCCTCCCACAACAGGCACTGGGGCTGTGAGGGGGGATTTGCTGTAAATGCAGAAGGAGAATGACACAGACAGACATTTAGAGGTGGTGGTACACGAGTGTATATGATACTCACACACACACACACACACACACACACACAACCCTTTTAGGTGGGTTGAAAAACCCCACCATTCATTGCACAGGCAGTTGGGTGCTTTGGGTAATTCACAGGCAGAGGTGACATCCAGTCATGCCCCTTCCCCTGTCCTTGCCTTGGGAAAATGTGTGTGTGTGTGCGAGTGTGAAGGCGGGGTTGGAGGTACCATCATCACACAGCCACAACCCCCTGTCAGAGAAAAGGAGGGAACTGGGGACGGGTCTGGAGCACAAGTCTGATGAAGAGCGGCTGAGGGAGCTGGGAGGGCTCAGCCTGGAGAAAAGGAGGCTCAGGGGGGACCTTCTGGCTCTCTGCAAGAGGAGGGTAGAGCCAGGTGGGGGTCAGGAGGATCTTATCCCAGACAACTAGTGACAGGACAAGAGGAGACGGCATCAAGCTGCGCCAGGGAAGGTTTAGGTTGGACATCAGGAAGACCTTCTTCATGGGAAGGGTTGTTAAGCACTGGCATGGGCTGCCCTGTGAGGTTATGGAGTCTCCATCCCCGGAGGTGTTCAAGGAACGACGTGGCCCTCAGTGCTCTGAGCTGGGTGACAAGGTGGGGATCGGTCAGCCGTTGGACTCGATGACCTTGGAGGTCTTTTCCAAACTGAATGATTCTGTGATTCTGCAGGGTGGACGTGGCTGGTGGCCACAGACCCACTGGCTGTGATGCGTGTGTGAGTAACGCAGCAGGGACGTTGCACACAGAGGTGTAATGGAGCTGCAGGTATCAGCTCCCTCGCCCGTACAGGTGTCACTGGGATCGGAGTATCACCCTTCCCTCTCACCACCTCCTTCCTCCTGGGCATGTTGCAAAAAGGGGAGGGTGTCTCACAAACAGGTGACCCCACCCCAGTAAGCCAGGGTGTGTTTTCTGCGAGTCTCTTTCCCACACCACGAGAAAGGATGCTGGGGGGGAAACTGGCACTGTGGAGGTGATCAATCACTGCCCCTCACTCGGCTCTAACGTGTTTGTTGGGCCTGGGAGTTGTCCCACACAGGTGTAAAACCTGGGCACCCTCCCTCACCCTTTTTCCTCCTACAGGCTGGCAGGTGTTTTATCACACAGATGTGCGTTTCAACACCCTCTCCTGTTGATCACAAGGTGTGTATTGGAGGTGGAAATTACTTTCTCTCTCTCTCTCACACAAACAAGTACAGGTGAACCCCAACTCCTCAAATTTAGAGAACGTTGCAAGTACTTGGAGGAGTGGCATTTCTCTTGTACAAGGGTGACTTCAGGTTGTTGACGACCTTTTTAGTGTGCAGAGTGGGTATTTGGGGTATGCCAGTCTCACTCATCCCCCTAAACATCTGAGAAATGCTTGGCTGAAGGGAAAAGGGGTGTCACACCAACGAGCAGAGGGCAGACCTGACCACCTCTCCCTGCCAAGCTGTCGGGGTGTTGAGCTGGGGTCTCACACAAGACATGCTTGCGTGTCCACAGTGTCTACAGTCTGTGTCTGGGTGTGTTACACACACATACAGGGTTACAGGCTGTGTCTGAGGATGTCACACACACACACACGTGGTGTTACAGCAATATAAGAAAGATATTAAGCTCTTAGAGAGCGTCCAAAGGAGGGCAATGAAGATAGCGAAGAGCCTTTGAGGGGAAGGCATGAGAGGAACCAGCAGCTGAGGGTACTTGGTCTGTTTAGCCTGGGGGAGACAGAGAAGACACCTCACTGCAGTTACAACTTCCTTGTGACAGGAAGAAGAGGGGCAGGTTCTGGTCTGTTCTCCATGGGGATCAGGGACAGGATGCCAGGAAATGGCCTGAAGTTGTGTCAGGAAAGGCTTAGGATGAATCTTAGAAAAACATTCTTCCCCCAGAGGGTGAACAGGCTCCCCTGTGCAGTAGTCACAGCACCAAGGCTGCCAGAGCTCCAGCAGCGTTTGGAAGATACTCTGAGGCACCTGGTGTGACTCTCGGGGAGATGGTCCTGTGCAGGGCCAGGAACTGGGCTCTGTGATCCCTGCGGGTCCCTTCCAACTCAACACACTCTGTGATTCTGTCTGTGTCACACACATGCTGACAGCGTGGACGTCTGAGCACGTTTCTCTCTCTCTCTCTCACACACACACACACAGAGCTTCCACCCGCTCCCTCCGAGCGCGTCTCGCACACTCGGTGTCACTCGCCGTGTCTGAGCGTCACACACACACACACACAGGGCTGCACACACCACCAGGGTGTCACACGCAGACACGGGGCCACAAGGCCGTGTCAGGGCGTCTCTCTCTCTCACACACACACACAAACACACAGACAGAGAGAGGATTACGCCGTCCCCCACTCTCGCTGTCCCTCCCCGTGCCCCGCCGTGCCCCGTGGCCGCACTTCCCTCTCCTCCCTCCCTTCCCTTCCCCGCCGCTCCCCCCGCGCGTCGCGCCGCCCGTGACGATGCGGGCCCGCCCCCGCCCGCTCGGAGCCGGCGGCGGCTGCGGCACCGCGGGCCGGGGTTGTGTGTCGGGTGGGGGGGGAAGAGCGGGGCGGGGAGAGCCGAGCCGGGCGGGCGGAGCGGAGCAGAGCGGCGGGGGCGGGCGGGGCGAGGCTCGGCGGCCCCGCCGGGCAGGGCGCGCTGCGGCATGGATTACCCCGAGCCCGGCTCGCCGCAGGGCGCTTGGAACCTGCCCGGCTCAGCCAGCGGCTACGAGCGGCCGAGGCGCGGCGAGGAGGAAGCGGCGGCGGCGGCGGCAGCAGCGGCGGAGCAGGAGGAGGAAGAGGAGGCGGCGGCTGCTGCTGCTGCCCGCACCCGCCCGCCCCGCCGCCCGCAGCCGCCGCTCCGCGCCGCGCTCTCCACCTCCTCCTCCGAGGGCGACCCCGAGCCGGCGGCGCCGCCGCGGGAGCGCAGCCTCAGCGACGAGGCCGCCGGCGGAGACTTCGACTCGGCCGAGTCCGGCGCGTCGCTGCGGTACTCGACGGGCACGGGCGGCGAGGGCAGCGAGGGCGAGGGCGCGGGGCTGGGCAGCAGCGACAGCGGCGGCAGCGGCTTCTCGCTGGCGGCCAGCGCGCTGCCCGAGAGGCGGCGGCCGGGCGGCGGCCGGCCCCGCTATGAGGTGGTGCGGGAGCTGGGCGCCGAGGAGGTGCGCTGGTTCTACCGCGAGGACCGCAAGACCTGGAAGCCCTTCATCGGGTACGACTCGCTGCGCATCGAGCTGGCGTTCCGCGCCCTGGGGGCCGGCGGCGGCGGCGGCGGCGAGGACGGGGAGCCGGCGGCCGTGGAGCCGGTGTGCGTGCGGAGCGGGCTCTACGAGGTGGATGTGGCCAGCGCGGAGAGCTACCCCGTCTATTGGAACCGTGAGTCCCCACCGGGGTGGGGGGGGGGGACGGGGGGAGTGGCCGGGCTGCCCCTCGCTCCCTGCGAGGGATGCTGGGCATCCCCCGTGCGCGCAGAGCCGGCACGGGGTGACCCCGCCGCGGGGACACCGGGTGGCTCTTCCCGACCCTCCATCGAACCCCCGCAGGGGAAAGGGGAGCTGAGCACTCCCTGTCAAACAGATCGGCCGGGGGTAACCTGGCATCTGTATGTTCCTATATGAGAGGTACAGGACAAAATATTCCCCAGGGAGAGGGGACTCGGCGTGCCCATCTCTAGCACGTACCTGAAAGAGGAGGGACTGGGAATTCCCCTTCCAAGTCTCAGGGATGTGATGGGGAGGGAAGGGAGCGCGGCTCGGGGCATCCCACCCGCCCGGGTACGTTGGTCAGGGAAGTGACATGAGCATCTCAGAGCATGCAGTGGAGAAAGGGACCACTGGACCACCCTCCCTTCCCTCCCTCTGGAAGAATGAGAGGTACTGAGTACCCCTCACTCAGAGTGTTCTGGCACTTCTGCCACTTCCAGCTGCAGAGGAAACTGAGCATCTTTCCCTCTCTCCTGTGCACTCACACCTGAGGGAGATGATCTGGAGCATTCGAACCTGGCATGCAGAGGGAAACGGGGACCTGAGCGTGCACACCTGGCAAACAGAGACGTGGAAAAGGGAGGTCTGGGCAACTTCTAATTTCTTGGCACCTGTGGAAGAAAGTGGGAGGGAAGGTGGCTGAGAACCTTTTTACTTAAGCTTCCCCTTTCCTAAGCAAAGGGTGATTGTGAGTGGATATTGAGCGGGTATTTGTTTTCAGCACTCTCCCCTTTCCCTCCCTGCACACCCTTCCTTCAGAAGGAGCAGGGTAGACACATCCATTATTTGACCACTGCCTCTCCACCACACACACCCTTCTGATCCCTCGTGATGATGGAAAGAAGGGCTTATACCTGGCTTCACCTCTGTGACCCTTGTCCTCTCCCCTAGGGAAATGATGATACTGTGCTTTATGTTTCATTTCCCATCACCTATATACTGGCAGAGGTTAAGAAAAGGAATTCCTCTTCCTTTCTGTTGGAGGGGATGCGACAGGCACCTCACACACACAGAGTCCTTAATTCTTACCCTTCCAATAGAGGTCAATTTGCTTCATAAACCCACAACAGGTGGGGATGCACCTCCTCTCACACCCTTCCCCTTGTATTCACGTGTCCTTTGCTGGAGGAGAGGGGCCTTGGGGAACAGAGATGGAAGAGGAGCAGACACCTCCAGCTCTCTGCCCCTTTCTTTGGTGGGAATGTCTCCCAGGGTCTCACTGGATAAGTGAGCACCTGCTTTCCTGGTGCTGACAAGCTATGCCACTGCCCACCACCTGTCCCTGAGGGCTTACTTGCTTTCCAACTGCATTCCTTCAAGGACAAGGGAGATGTTGTGGAGTAGAGTGAGCTGCAGGGTAGCCAAATGTGTCCTGGCATGGGCTTGGAAGAGGAGCAGGCAGGTTTCTCTCATCCCCTCTGTATATTTTTGAGACTCGGTTGGGAGCCACAGAGGAACAGCAGAACTGTTTCAGAGATGAAAACCAGAGCTTTTAGTTCTTTTCCTTCTGACTTATCAGCGTCTTTACAGGAGGGAGATCCATAGATGGGTGGTACATTTCACTTAGGTGACTGCCTTTCAAATCCTTGTCCCAGCAGACAGACACTGAGCTTGAGGAGTGAGCAGAGGGCTCAGTCCACACGTGCTTTGAGTTGGGGGAGCCTGGGCACAGCTCCTCGAGCAGAAAGTGGAGGTGGTTTTCTCCCTGCCACCACCCTGAAGCCCCTGCTGTTGGCACTGGTTACTGGGAGGAGAAGATGCAGGTCATCCAAGGGATGAGGAAACTGCTGCCATCCTTGTAGCTGCGCCACAGGGAGAGAGGGGAAGGAGCGAGCAGAGCCGTAAGGTGAGGCAGGATTGCTCCTGGCAATGGGAGCAGGAGGCTGCGCTCGTCAGCAGCTTAAAGGTTTAATTTCTTGACACTGTGCCTTGTCCATTTTGGAAGCTGATTCAGTCTCATTAAGCTTGAGGAGCAGATGTTTCAAATGACAGCATGCGCTGTGCAGAGACGGTTTCTGGTGCTTGGAAGGAGAGATTCCCAGAGGTTAGCACCAGAGGCAGGGGAGAAATAAACTGCTGGTCCTGAGGGGACTAATGACGGGGATGATTCCTAGTCCTCAGAAAGCTGATTAAGGCGAGTGCTCAAGTCTTTTCTTATTAGCAGGTCCACTCCTTTGCAAGACTAAGATCATCTTTTGGTGTTTCAAGGCTCTTTCAGTGACTTTTGGTTTAACTTACCTTTCACCTGCGTGTTTCCTTGCCTCTATTCCCTGTGTACATGGGTGCTCTTGCCTTTCTCCCTCTCTTCCTTCCCAACTGCTGCATCCAGATCTGAGAGAACAGCAAGGTCAGATCCCAGAGATGCAGCCTCATCTGTGCATTTGAAGGCCTTGGTGTAGCTGTTTTTCCCAAATTATTCCCATCTGATGGTGTGTGGATAATTCTGGATCCAAAGGGGAGCTGCTACACTGGTCTGGGAGGAAGCTGCTGGTGACGAACCAGCTCTTACACCAGCCCATGAGTGAGGCAGGAGAATCCTCCTCTCTGGCCACAGGAGCATGAAGTATAATGAGCACAAGTGACTTAAAATATGCTGAGGTGCAGGTTGAAGAGTACAGAAACTGCTGGCTGGTTTTGCTGATTCATGGTTCAGTTCAGAGCAAAGGTCAAAGGCTTTTTTTATCTTTGTTATTTTGCCCTTTTTCCTGTATGTGCTGTACTCCAAGGGAGGCTGCTATCACACAGCTACAACACTGAGCAGTTGGTTCCTCAGCTGACAGTTCCTCAGCTTTTGGAACATCTCAGTGCCAGGAGAATGTTGATTATAGCTGGGCATGTGCCAAAATATTTTTTCACTCCACATCTTTAAGCTCACCACAGGATTCACTGGTAACATCAGGAATATCAGCCTGAGTTACAATTTGAGCAGATTAATTACTGAGAATTTAATCCTTACCTTGTGACCTCTGGGATTTATTTAATTAGTGTTGTAGAACCAGCAAAAATGGTGCAAGAGGATGAGAATTATTAGTGTAGGTTTTCAGACAAGCGAGTAACCTGCAGCTGGGCTGCTTCTTGTTTTCTCTGGGCATAACAACAAGTGCTATTTTATTACAAAGGTCTTATGTTTAAATCTCCTTAAATTATCCAGCCCTTTTCTGCCCTCCTGGTTCTAGAGGGCTGCTTGACCACAACCTTTCTGTAGAGTAACTGTCTGTAGAGAAGTCCCATTTTAAATCCACAGCCTGTGGACTTCTGAGTGACTCTCCTGCTCCTTGGCTTGTGAGTTTGTGCCATCCAACTGTTGTCCTGTCAGGTATTTGCTTTTTCCTTGCTTTTTTTTTTTCCCATGTTTACGTTGTCAAGTTGTCTGTATTTAGTTCTTGTGGTGTGTGTTTTAAGGTAGGACTTTTGTAAAATCTGTAGTGATATGTGGAGAGAAACAACTGCAACTTTATGTATTTCAAAAGCCATTTGAGGAGCCTGTGGAGCTTTGTCCTTTAGGGAAGGATAAATAACTTTACTCCCAGACACAGGTTTGGGAAGGGGAGGGAGTTTTTGTTTGTTTGTTTTTACCATAGATGTTTTTGTGCCTAACAGTTGCAAAGTCTGTTAAGTAAAATAGCTCATTTTGTATTAAAAACAAACAAACATTTGTGCTGATATAACAGATATTTTACTGTCCTTAACCAGGAAATACCTGTGAATATGGGTCTTAAAATTAAGATCTGTCTGCTCAGGCTGGAATTGGGCAGCTGTAAAAAAGCATTTCAACTGCCTTTAAGCTTGGACTGAAAGAAATATCCAAGCCCTTGTGTTTTTCTTCTGTAAACAGTCTGAGAGCTGCTGTG